TAAGCAAAGATACTTTTTTACCAGTGCATTTAGTACCGAATAATACACAAAGAAAAATTTTCTTATTAGCAAAGCTTTAAATAAAGACAAGAGACTTAAAATATGGCTTAACTCTTCATAAAGCTGTAAGATATGAAAAGATGGTTATGTCAAAATTGTGGATTTGAGGAATTGTTTCTGGGATTCCATCCAAATCTATTATCTAAACAGGAATTAATCCAAATGGAGCCCACTGTCGTCTGTCTAAGCTATGTGTTTATTTCATAGTATCATGAAATGTAAGAGGCAAAAGGCATCTGAGGCTTAGCATTCAAGTCTAACTCACCTCACAGATGTGGAAACAGAGGGCCTGGGGATTTACAAGTCAAATGTCAGTGAAAACACAACCCATAAGAAGCTAGTCCGGAGACATGACAAAAACAAATGCCTCCACAAATGCTTAGCAAAATTAATACTGAATTTAAATACTCATTAGTCAATGCTAATGATAAAACAAAGCAGGTAGCAATTGATGCTTTGTTAAAGAAACTGCTTAGGTGTAGGCTGGGAGGGCAAGGATGCTGAACACAGGGCGCATGTTAATTGAGAAGAGTTCCTAAGAACTATTTTTAACATGGTTACCACACTTCACGCTAATTTAGAATTTAGTTCCAATTTTGTGTGTGTTCACTACCAAAAACTATGTCAGATTATAGATAGCTACAGAATGTGATCATCCCACACTCTGTATGTGGTTACAACTATGTGTCCGTGTGAATATGTGTCAAATCATCATACTGAATCCCTTAAACATTTAATTGCTGACAAGAAAGGTTTCCAAATCAAATATAAAATACTACCATTGAAGTTAATTAAATGGTTAGAAGGACTTAACGGTTCCTCTCTGTGCTCTGTTAGGGGTTCCTTTGCTATGATGAAACACAATGGCCACAAGTAACTTGAGGAAAGCCTTTATTTCCTCTTACAGCTTGAAGACCATTACCTAGCATGGATGGAGGTTACAGGAAGGAACCTGGAGGCAGGAGCCAATGCAGAAGCCATGGAGGAATGCTGCTTACTGGCTTGCTACCCATGGCTTGCTCAGCCTACTTTCTGTTAGACCAAGCCCAGAGGTGGCTCCATTCACAATGTAATGAGCCCTCTCACATCAATCACTAATTGAGAAAATACCCTACAAGCTTGCATACGGAAGCATTTTCTCTGTTGAGTTTCCCTCCTCTAGCATGTTTGTTATTTATAAAAAATTAACGAGTACAGACCCTCTCTACCAAAAAGACTACAATTGCTTCAGCTTCTCTTTGCCTTTCTATGTGGTTTCTGTCATATTTTATCATATAACATAATCATATATCATAAATATAATTTTTGTTCATTTGGACATTATATAAAAGGATATGCACATATTGGTATTATTTCATTCACATAATTCATTTCCCTTTTACTACAGCACATTTATTTCTCTGCTGTAGTGTTCTATTACAATTTATTCATTTACAAAATTTCCCCAGGCTGAAGAGAAGGTTCAGCAGTTAAATGCACCTGCTACTCCTCCAAAAGATCAGAGTTCAGTTCCCAACATCCACTCTTGGGAAGCTCACAATCTCCTGTAACTCCAGCTCCAGGGGCTCTGACATGCTCTTCTTAGATCCGTGGGCACTGCCTGCATGTGCACACAAACCTCCCTTCTCTTTCTCTAGTGTTTTATGATTGAAATGAATTATGTGTGGATACACATCTCTTCTTTATTCAATTTGGATATACTGAACTTCGAAGATCAATAAAATGGAGTGTTTTATTGGTTCAGGTATGATTCTTGCAACTACCATCTATACTCTGGTTTTCTGTCCTGCCTGATGGGATTACATGGATGTGGACATTTTCATTATACACTCTACCTACTTCATCTATTTTTTGTCTCTATGTACTGTATCTCGGTGGTTTCTATTTCATATAGCTCTTCAGTTCCAGAATTCTCTTTGTACTTAGATCTCACCTACAGATAAATCTGTTTCTTTTAAGTTCAATGGGTATATTCCCCTTTGATGTAATTTTGTTACACTATTGTAGTAGACTTTGCATTCTTTAAGGTTGGTATTCCTACATATTTTTAAAACTCTTTTGTTTTTGCTTATTCTAATATGTAAATGTGGGTATTTTTGATTCTATTTCTGATGCTGCCAATACTAAGACCCTCTCTGAGTCAGTGACTACTCATGATCCTTCTGGCTGCCATTCATGATTTAATTCTTGCCTGTCCAATGATGTTAATTTAAGAGTGAGACATAAAATGGTATGAATTCTAGATCCTGGTGCATTTGTCTGTATAAAACTAGTCAAGTTGTCCTTGTGAAGGTTCTGCTGTCAGTGGGCATTTTCACTTTCATATTAAGCATTTTTAAAGCTCTTACTACCTTTTGTTTTTGTGTCTGGGTGAGGTGTGCCACATAAGTGGGCTTCAGATTCCCAGCAGCTGGAATTATAGGAGCCAACGAACATGACGCTGTATGAAAACAGCAACCATATTTACAGTAAGCCATTTCTTCAGCCCATACAGACAGAATTTCTGACCAAGCGATACTTTCATAACAATAATACACATATTTGTATTTTATTATTATAAAAATGAGGCAGCTAATAAAATTTGCTGAGCAGATGCAAGCTGTTCTTATGAACTTCGTCACACTCCTGTGAAATTCATGATTATGTTTCTATTTTCTAGAAAAGAAAATATGTACACAGGCAAAATTAAGATTAAACCATATGTGACTATTGAAACAGAATGCTTTTAAAATAAAACATTTTAAATGCTCTAAAGCAAAATATATTATGCTATACTAACTTGGATGGATCTAGTTACACAATCTCATTGTCAAAAGGAAGTATGAGTGAGAGATGCTTAGAGAGGTAAGGTAACTGAACCCTGGACCAAATAAAATCTGGTCCTCAAAACTCATTTTGATTAAATTTGAGTGTGTGTGTCACATGCATGCCACAGTGAATATGTGGAAGTCAGGAAAAATTCCTGGCATTGGTTCTCTCCTTTCTACCCTATAGGTCCTAGGGATAGAACTCGGGCTACCAGGTGTGGTGGCGAGTACCTTTACCCCAAGTCATCTCATTAGCCCACAACTCATTTTTAATAATGGAATGTGGTATAGCCTCTCTGTAGACTAAAAAACACACACAAAGAAGGTAGTGACAACTTGCGCACACATTAGATGATTTGGGGACTGCATGCTTATGTTCCAGCATTTAATTTAGTACCAGCTTGGAGACAAGAGACAGGGAGCTCAAAGGAACAACCTCATCTTAGGAAATTCACACATCTCTGTCATATATGCCTCTCCTTAAGGTAAAATCTTACTACTTAGAAGACAATACTATTACCACAGAGCACAATCTAGCCACGGGTTACTTTTTAATTCATCAAACAATACATAGCATTAATTCGTCATCATACTGATTTCTTAATTTGAAGGTAATTTGAAATTATGGCATTTTCTCCACGGTTTTGTTAGTCTGGTATTTTCTCAAAGGCATGTTTGGATCCCAGCCTTGAAGTGCTTACAACACAGAGTAGGTATGAGTAAATGCACAGAGCCAGCTTTATATTTGAAATTGTCATGTGGAATAAGAAAAATCAAATGGTAATAAATAAATTTAGATCATGTAAAATAGAAACGAAGACAACATGATGTAAGACACTTATGATCGCACAGCACAAACAAATAAAAAAATACTGCCCAAGGCTGTAGAGATGGTTCAGCATTTAGAAGCACTTTCTGCTTTTGTAGAGGGTCAGGGCTCAGTTACTATCTGACTTCCCTGACTTCCAAGGGCTCCTGTAAACATTCTTTATACATAAACTCACATAGGCATGCACACATAAACATTTAAAAAAAGAAAAGGAAAGACATGTCCATTTCATCCCAGTACTTGGGAGGCATGGGCAAGCAGATCTTTGTGAGCACAAGGACAACCTGGTTTGCTTATCACATTCCAGGCCAGCAAAGGCTACATAATGAGACCCTGCTGTAAAAAAATACAAAGCCAGTGTCCCTGAACTAAATAACTGAATTTTGATGTCAATGTTTGCTATTCTTAAATAGCAATTAGACCTCCTAAAAAAAAACTCAAGACATACACTATAACTGTGATTTTGAATTATAATATTAACTGGATTATACTGTGAGGATCTCAGTCTGTTCAGCATGTCCACCCACTTCTGTGGATGGATAGCCTTCCTTAATGCATACCTGAGCTTATCAACTTCTCTGAAACATTTAAAATATTCTTCTTTCATTCTGAGATTATAATTTCATCATTTCTCCCTTCCCATTCCTTCTCCCAAACACTCCATATGCCCAAAATAATTATACTATTTCTCTCTTTAAAGCCATCCATATGCCCTTCCTTCCCACTTTCAAATTCACAGCCTCTTTTTCATTGTTTTTTTGTTTGTGTGTGTGTGGTGTGTGTGTGTGTGTGTGTGTGTGTGTGTGT